ATCACCCAGCCTAAGACAACGATTTTTAATAATTAATTACTCGTTAACTATTACGAAAATTGCAAAATGGTACAGGACTTTTCCGTTCATCTCGATCCGTTCTACCTTCTCAAAAATTTGTCGGATATGGAAAGACTCACCCTGTATAATTTTCAAATGTAGTATTAGAAATATTTAATAGCGCTTAATATTAAGATAAATAATGTGATTCTGTAGACTCTTTACTCGTAAATTATTCATGCTGAGGTTGGACATGCTGCTTTCTCGTACGCAGTATTCGTACGGAGACGCCAACAAGCTTGAGCTTCGCCAATCTCTTTCTTGCCGTTTAACGAAAAGTCAAATAAATGTACGGTGCTGTATGCACTTTGTAAGTGACATTACGACGCAGGCCTATAGAAACGACGAAATCTTCAAAATACTCGAAGGAGTCCTTGAAAGGCTAACGAAGCTAATCGTTTCCATTGAGTTACGACTAATTGTATTGACAGCTGTATGCCAAGAGGGGTATAAAACGCTTCAACGCTTCTGTCTCGTATCACATTACGTTGACATTGAATGCGTAACTATAATGTGCTGGATTTCTCGAGGCGTATACATACCGTCCTTTCTCTCTCGCCAATGCGATCTGATCATCATCTTGATCATCATCTTTTCCTACGTCCTCGATAGGAAACTTTTCGCTCCGGTTTACGACACTTACGTGTTTCAATCACGTAGCATCTGAAAACATAACGACGCACGTATGGCATTATTTTCGCTCATCTTCTCATTCATTCGGAATTTCGTTGAAAATTGAATTTGCATTTGCGCGAAGCGGCAAGATTTTCACAAAAGCCGCCAACGAGAGTAAATTGAAACGATAAAAGTCATTCATCTCACATGCTATTATTTACCGAGGCAAACTTCTTGCGTCGATTTCATTGTCCCACCGTTATTTTTTTATGTGCAAACTTTTTTTCCAAAAGGATTTGCTTATTTTTCAACAGGTGATGTGAGCAAACGGAAAAGCTTAGTGGATGCTTTGGAGACCACGATATATGTCATGCCATATATCGCGAAACATCGTCAACTCAGCTCTTCTGTATCGTTCTTCGTCGACGTAAGAATGCAACGTAAAGAAAACAACAATTTTACCGTCGAAATTTCTTCCAGGACGAAAAACTGCTTCGATAGAATGAATTCTCAACGAGTTCACAATTCCAAATAAACGTGAGCATGAGTAAAAAGATTTCACAGTGCGTGCGTCGTTGTATCTCAGATTGCTGATTTGTGCGATCGACGTAACGTGCACGTACCGAATACTTATTCAAAGAAGGGAGGGAAGAGAAACCGCAGACGGAAAATAAATGTCACCGTGCTGGCCGCGTACGATCGGTGACATACGTCAACTAAATTTTCATATCGCTATTACAATCGCTTTGAAACGCATTACACGCTCGTGTAATATTTTCTGTATCGTCGCGGTTCCAAGAATTTAAAATTACAGCTTCCGAAGACGCACCAAGTGGCGTCATTACAGCTGGATGCAGTAGTGATTCCGGGCGTTCGAAGGCATATTGACGCCACGCAGTCTCGCAAATGTTTAGGTAATCCGTTACATGACGACACTGCATCTATCTTCGATGTGCCGATCGTTAATCACGCTTCGATTTCAAGGGCAGGCGGAAATGGGCGTGTTACCATCGTTTAGCAGCTTTCGTTTATCGCTGTCGCATCTAGCCTTCGTCTTACGTAAGATATAACATTCCGCTGACGTGCAGTCACCGATGGAATTCACCCTTGAAAGTTAATGCACTTGCATTTAGGCAAATTGTACTTTTGTTATGTAAAAGGATAATTGCAAATCAGGTGTCGTCAGTTATTAATTATCGTTCAGCGCGAAGCTGTATACTTGCGGAGAATCCATCGCTTAGAGAAAGGTATCGGTAATATCGATGTGTATTCAACGGAAGATACACTCAAAGTAGTTAAAAAGAAATGTTTAAAATGAAACTACGTATTATGACTCGAATTCAAACCACTTTGAAGATTTCTATTTGTATCGTTTTTAATCCGATCGCGACGATACGCGATGGAACACCCTAGTAGCAGAGTGCATTGGCCAAACATTGGTTATATTAAAAACACATTGGCCAGCATTTACCAATGTAACCATCTTAAGCCCGTATCTGCGGATTAAGATTGAGATTAGATTGAAATTTGACCAATCGCCGTAAAGTTTACTAATCTCAAGTTTAGTGAATTTTACTCCAATTGGTAAAAAATCAGCTTCAATCTAATCTCAGTCTCAATCCATACATTGCTATTACATTAGTTGCTCTAAGAAAAACCACTGTACTTACGTAGCGGGTCTGAAGCGTTTGAAATTACATTGAGAGATATCGGGGTCTCGAAACTCCTTTGTAAACGTATTGAGATCTTAGAAATAAAATTGCTCGTTTCATTTACGTTCTAGCGTTCAAGTTAAAACATGTGTTAGCAGTTAAAGTCTCGAGTAATCGCTTCGTTCATTGGCGAATTCATTATTGAATTATTGCACAATGCGCATGAAATTACTAACGATTTATACTCGAGCGAATAATGCCGCCAGAAACTTCCTTAAAGGAATAATTTATTCAACCGCTTTTACGTAAGACCACGCAGGTAGTATATTTAAAACCAAGAGCGATTGGCTTCTACGGCTCTTTCCTTGGTTAAGTCTTTGGAAACTCCATATGTGGCATTCTCTCGAAATTCTTCAAACAGAATTAAATTGTGCCAATAGCATCAGCTTTTATATAAATTACATTTGTAAGTAGTTTCATTCTATTATCTTCTTATCCTCCTTTTTATGGAAAGTTAATTTTCCATCTTTGGGGATTTGTCATTTTCGAGCATTTTGTTATTGTTGTCCAATATTTACTGGAATACCGATATAAATATGTATTTGTGCCTAAGCTATCTGTTCATGTGTAATAAAAGTTTATATAACGCGACCCAATATTTGCATTTAATAAAGTCGTGAATAAAATCTCGTAACTTTTAAATGAAGACAAATGAAACGGTAACAATACGTAGACAAGTAAAAGATACATAGAAATATTTATGTTACGCCATACTAATTTCACAGACTGCAGAAATTGTACCACACGTTCGTATCTTCTTCCAATATCTTTTCTACAGTCGTAATTTCGGAGCCATCCACGTTTGCGGCTGAAGTTTACGTCGACTGTCCGCGTTCCGACATTTAAAACGTAGCTCGACGTAGTTGGAACCTTGATATTTAAACGTCTCTTTGAGATTAATGTATCAACTTTGTACACAGTTCCGTTCACTTCGCCTCCGACCATGAAGTCGCGGTGCGCTCGTTCGCCACATACGCAAGGCATTCAGGTTCAATGCAAATAACACACACACACACACACACATACTTGATTTAGTTGCCGTAATAACATATGTGTCGTAACGATAGCTAACCATCTATTACATCGCGCGCTACGCAACGCCTTCCAATCCGTGGCTGTGTCGTCCGAATAAGGCTTAGCGCCCCGTCGTCACATATGTTGCAAAATTGCGTCATTACAAACCGCGGTGCAACTGCGTGCAGTTTCGCCGTCGGACAAAACTTCCTTTTCGAACGCGTCCCACAAAATATCTGCCAACAGCATCGGCGCGGATTATACTCGAGTCAAATCGCTTTCCATTGCCTCTTACTTCGCGCGCGATCCAAGTGCTCGGCTCGCCGAGGAATGCATCGAGGATTTAGCTCTTTAAAATTACGTTCTAAACGGCTGGATCGCTGGAATTCGGCCTTTCCGTCCAATCTGTCCGCGCGCAACGGCACTCACGTGCGTCAAGAGCGCGCGTTAATGATCGAGTAGGGCTTGTTTGCAAAAAAAAAAGAAGAAAAGAAAGAGTTGCACGAAAAAAATTCTTTCGCGTTACACACCGTATAATCGTTACGAGAATGCGGTACCTAACCCAGTCAGAAATGACTCGTCAATCGATGTCGAAACGACGCCGAATCGACGTCAATATGACGGTTTCGATGTCCATACGACGTCGTTTCGACGTCGATCGACGAGACATTTGCGCGATCCGGGAGCGACTCTTACTTCCACTTCATCGTGCGCTAGTGATAAGATTCCATTTCGCGCGCCGCGCTGCAGCGATTCTCGCGCGACGATATCCCGCGAGATAATGAAATTCCATAATATATCACTCGGCACGAGTGTACGAAGACGTTCGCACGTGGAATACGAGAATACAGGACGAATACGATCGGCGTAAATATACCGATTTGTAATCTCCACAATCCGCGACGCGGCTCTTATCTTTTAATACCAAAGTGCATTTAGTAATTGTGCAGAAAATTAATTCCTCCCCCTGTTTCCTCGAGGGACAATCACGAGGATACCGTACGCGGTGTCATCCGAACTTCACGCACGGCGCTGTCGTTTGCATTCACCCGAGTCTCGTATGTTGCGTGCGCGCCAAATGTATTAAGGTACCTTGCCGGAAATAATTCTACAAAATTCGACAAAAAAATTAAATATAACTGCCAGAATCTAAAAAAATTCTACGTAAATTTACAAGATGTTATAAAAATCCACGTGAAAATGCTAGATTTGGAACACTTTTGTTAATTTTTGTAATATTCTACGAGTAAGCAGAGGTTTTAATTCTTAAAAAATTTTTTTAACTGGTAAAGTTTTGTACTAGTTTTTAATATTCTAAGAGAAGCAGCGGTGTTTAAAAATCTGTTCTTGAATTTAAATATAAAAGCATTCATCGTCCATGGAACTTTATTGATCAGGTCTCATTTTGACTAGAATAATTGGGTAAGAACTGCCTTAACGCACCGATGTTAACTGAGATGACAATCGGGAAGTTGTTAAAACTAAATAGCTGGTGCCTTGTGTAACGAATGAATAAAATGAATTGAACTGAACGTAACTTTGCAGAGGAAATCTCGCCGTGTGTGTATGCGCAGACGCAAATGATCGAATCTGACTCAAGCCGATAAATTCTGTGAGGCGAACTGCATTTTCGCGAAACTCGGGCAAGTTCGCGCAAAAACGACTTGTATTTTCGATTTCGATCTTGAGCGCCGTCGAGAATGTCGATGACCGGTCGTATGTGTTAGATACGATCACCTTGACTCAACCGCATGCACATTAATTATCGGCGACTGTCTACTCGCGTATTCTCTCTTACGGCGTATTTCCCTGACCTAAATTATTCCCTTTTCAGCCTACGCGCCGCAATGCTGGGAGATACGCGATATTAATTGCACTGAGAAACATCCCGAACAAATTATCGATCGATAACGACGTGATAACGTGCGCAAGAGCAATTACAATAATAATATGCAGATATGAGGTTGAATTGCCGCGAAATGTTACTGTAAAATCATACGTTGTAACAGTTGACCGGATCTTAATAAAAATATTTACTAACAAAATCGACAGCCAATTTTTTAAGCTTGTCCGTTCAAGGACGTAATTTACTAAAATCACATTTCATCGGAATATCATTGGCGCGATCTCGTAATGCGAGGAAAAATAGAATTTTACTTAATGTTGCGAGTTTCGCTCATATTAAAAATGAAATGCGCATCGCATATTACATGAGTAACGCAGCTTGAGGATAAAAGTTTCAGGAATCTACTAAAAAACAGGAATTTACTAAAATCACATTTCATCGGAATATCATTGGCGCGATCTCGTAATGCGAGGAAAAATAGAATTCTATAATGTTTGTGAGAAGCGTATGGGTCAGGACACAAAGCAACGTAATAGCTTACGACAAAGACGCAAGCGTAAACGTGGATAGCGCGCAAGCTTTGGTGTAAATGCAATCGGAGGTAAGTGCGACATACGCCGAAGCTTCCCTAGCGGAAAAAATTTCTATAAATAACTACAAAAATTGACTTGAAATAGAAATTTGTAGAATTTTCACATCTTCGTTGAAACGTTAATTTTTTTTTGCAAAAATATCTACGCTACAGTACCAAAAATTACAATGTTCTCACATCAAGAAATTATTGCAAGTATTTCATGAAAATGTACAAGTTTGTAAAAATAAGTACAGAACTTTACAAGTTTTAAAAATTTGAGAAACAACAAAATCTTCAAGAACTAAAACATCTGCTTACTTGTAGAATATTACAAAAATTAACAAGTGTCCCAATTCTCGCATTTTCATGTTGATTTTTGCAACACCTTAAATTTACCTAGACTTTCCTAGATTCTGGCAGTTACATTTTAGTTTTTGCTGTATGATATTTTTATAGAATTATTTCCGGCAGGGTTGCGCGCTAATCTACGTTTACGCTCACGTTCTTTGTCGTAAGCCATTACGTTGCATTGTGCTCTGACGCTGACATATGAAAACGTATTATGAAGATAGCAAAGATACTCACCCGTTGCAGATTTTTAGAAATGAAAACTAGGTAGACGCAGCAAGTGCCCATTTGATATATCAATAGGAAGGCGTTTATTATATGTCTGCGAATGGAGAAGGCAAGTTTTTCATAATATACAGGGTGAATTTTATTTCGTGTCCCAGTCTTTTACCATGAGAGATGGCTTACCAACTGTAACTGTAGCCGACTCTGGAAAAAAAAGTAGAAAAAAATGTCGCCATATATGTTTCAGTCGTGTAATATCTAATTATATCTCTCAAGATACAATTATTGTATTACATGATTGAGACATATATAACGAGATGTTTTTACCTTTTCCCGGGTTGGCCACAATTTCGGTCGGTAATCCATCTCTCGTGGTAAAAGACTGGGACACGAAATAAAATTCACCCTGTATATGTTTAAAGGCAGTTGTGACTGTAATCTAAAAAATTACAGTCTCATTATTCCATTAGAATATACGTTCATGTAATACATCGCGTGACGGAAACTAATCGTGCACGATAGTACTTAAATACTATAATTATCACGTCTAATTATCGAACACTGTTGTCTTTATCAGCGACGGCGCACAAAAGACACACAGCTGTAATTCTTCGTGCATATATTTCTTAAACTCACACCGAAGAAAGTGTAACATACTCACATAGAAGCTTTGGAGCAATGTTTGAGAAACGACGGTCCCTCGAGCAAGGCGGCTTCCGCGGTCGCCGGATACGACATGGACGGCACCCTTTTCCTCTTACACAGCTCGTACTCCGAACGAACGAGAATTCGCATGCAATATATACAAAGGAGCCCAATGATGAACGTGGCTATAACGCCGACAATGTATCCAGCATTATCGAAAGCCTTCGGCATCGCGAGGATCCCAGTGCCCAAACTCCCCTTCAGCAGGTGAAGCATTGTCTCCGTGTTGCTAAAAAAAAAAAAACATGTAAAGAGACCGAGCATTTGCCAAATTATTAGTCGTTTGCGATGCAGATTAAAATTGCAAAATATTTAAATCTGAATAAACTCTCGAAAGGAGAAAAATGATTTTTGCTCCCGATTTCTTGACCTTATACACTGCTAGAGAGAGATTGGCTGATATAAATAAACCAATAAGGAAAAGTGAATATATTGAACGAATATCAAATGCTCGTATGAACCATTAATAATAAATACAAATCACCGACAGCCTTGCAATAAAAATAATTGCTATAGATTACGACAAGCGTGCATTCCACGTTTTCATCGGGAAGAGACCAGTAGACGTCTTATCGAGCTTGGCACAATCTGATTCAATATAATTAGAAAATTACGCTAATAAGGCAACTGGCACGTATGAGGAAAACGTCATTTCGCGCGCGAGGGAAACTAATGCGAGTTATATAACATTCTTGGTCACCTTGAATGGCGAGTTGTATCGTTTTCCATTTGGATTAATTTTTCAACGAATCGGATACTCCTCCAATAAATCCCGAACAGACGATTACGACAGTGTGCCAGACAATCGGTCGCATTTTGTACAATCTTTCAATTGAAACGATTCGGTAGGCACATAGGAAAACTATCACTAAACCGTCAGATTTATCAAAGTGATAAAATAACGATAGAAAGAAACGTATACCAATATCTGTAGAATCAAAGATGTCCCAATTTGATTACATACCGTCCAAACTATCATGTGTCTGAAGATATCGTAAATTCCAAGTTATCCTCTGCCACTTTTAGACAGGGATGGCTTCCAATTTTCCATCAAGAGAAAGCCTAATCTCTCAATGTTCTACTAACACTTCTAACAACACACGGAAAGAACAATGTAGCTGCTGTAGCTAAAACTTAGCAAAATAGGGACAGCTAATTTTTTTAGTTGTGACAGCTCAATATTTTGCTACGACAGCAAACCGTTTGCTGTCGCACCTAATACAATAGGCACAGTAGCAAAATATTGAGCTATCACAACTAAAATATTAGCTGTCCCTATTTTGCTAAGTTTTAGCTACAGCAGCTACATTGTTTTTTCCGTGCATCTTCGATAAGAAATTTAACGGCAGAAAGATACGCTTTTCAAACTACCCTTTTCCCCCCTCGCCTTTCTATGTGTACGTGTTGTAATTCAGTTCATCCGCATTCAGCCTTATATTAATACTATCATATTGAAAGCGTTGCCTTTTAGTGAGTGTAATTATTGAAACTTGTCAGGGACGAGCATTAAAGTTGATAAGACAAACGATTACATCGAGCTGTTACACACGCGGCAAATCTCTCCATTCCTCCCATTTCTCACTTTACCCCATTACGAATGAGATATGAAACGACGTGAAACGTATTTGCGTTGACAGAACTTACGTAGTCGGATGCTCCACCTCTCTATAGTCATAAGGGTCATAATCACTTTCTTGCGTCGCGTGTGCGTCCTTCTTCTTTTCTTGGAGTTCCAGAACGTACGTGGCATCATTCTTCCATCCGTAACTGTAAAAGTGCAACTTTTATACAAAGCTTGCGCTGTAAGCAAGCTAGACGCGTGAATTAGGGCTTGAACGTGTGAGATATGACGTGATAACATGAAAGCAGCTGCTATCGTATCAATATGACTCGCATGATGATATCTTTGAATTGATTTTAAATAACAGCGTTGAGATCTTTCATTAAAATTGCATAATGAAAAATCTTGAAAAGTGTAACTCGTGTAGGGCCGAGCACATTACAAAGGGAGGCCTGAATTTTCTTTATTTTTATAAAATTTATTACATTAGGCACTTACCCAGGACGCTCCTGAGACGAAGAAGACTTTTTGATATCTTGCAGAGCATTCTGTAAAAATAAATAATCAACTTTACATCGCGGTGACTTGTTCAAGTACAGAAGAAGCAAGTATTTAAATATATACATAGAGATAGGCTCCTATTGCACTGAAAAAAAGGCTGGGTTGTAATGATCCAGGCTTGGTCAATGTAACCAAACGCCTTGGTGAAATAGTTTCAACTAAACGTATAAGTTATC